TAGATGATTGGAAGATAACATGATAGTCAGGGGTCGCCTCGATAACAACGGAACTCGATCGATATCGATTGGACCTGTTCGGTGGAATCATAATCGAGCTCCAGGAATTGGACGAAATTGGTTCCGGGGGTAGAACTGATTCCGGAATGTTCAACATCGTGGAATAGGATGCATTCTCAATTCCGGAAATTTGGTGGAACTCGGCCAGTGACGAGTAGATCTGTTATATTGAATGATGATCGAGTTCCTGGAGTTGGATGAAAGTGGTTCCGGGGACGGAACTAATTCCGCAATGTTCAACATCGCGGAATAGGATGTATTCTCAAAGAAACTCGTTTCTATATGTAGAAATTCCAAAGGAGCAACTCTACTTAAGTGTTTTTATTCAATAAATAATGATCATGTGCTTTTTCTAGAAACAAAAAAGTAAGTAAATGTTGCTTATTAGTATTTGGATCGAAGTTTAAGCGGATGATGCGCTCAGTACATACTAATCATGACAAAAGGAACTGACAGATACCAGCAAAATAGCACATTCATAATATCATCGTGAAATAGCTTGTTATGAAACGAAATTCTTGTGTAAGACCGACTTTACCAAAAGAATACTTTCTTCAACTCTGATTGTTAAAGTACTCATTTTAATTAAGAATGTAGTTTTATTTTTGTTTTAGTAAGCAAGTTAAAAGGTATTTGTGTGGAGATAACTAATTTAGAATCAGAGATGAAAACAGGACAAAAACGACATCTTTAATTTTTGATTAAGTCAAAGAGATATTAAACTTCACAATCATGTTATAACCAATATATTTCATAATTTTTCCAAATATGACAACTTTGTTTTTGAACAAGGATTAATTCAATAAATATCAAAAGAGAAATACAGGGTGTGTTATAGGCCGGACCGGCAATGTTCTAGATACAATTTAGTTTAATTGACAGAGCATATAAAAGAGAGCAGGTGCTGTGGTGTTGCTGACCTAGAGACGTATCGAATATATTGTTTGTTTGCTGTACATTATAATTTAATTTTCATCTGGGCCAACAATTATCTTAATTATTTGGTCTGATTAACAATGAAGAATACCACAAAGCAAGTGTGGCAGTATCAAAGAGTCTCAAGGTGGAAATATAAATTTACAGCTCAAAAAAGTTTCTCTAATTATTCCCAAAGCTTGTCAGGAAAGTGAGAGTATACACCATGTATGCAGTAGCTCTTTTATAGAAGGCACAGAATCGCAAAACTTCTTTTTTTACGAGAAAAAGTCAATACTAATGCTATTAGTATTGAAATCCTGTTTAATCTCTGCCATTCTCTATGTGAGGAAAGTGATTTCAAATTTTTACCCATATACTTTAACATTTCTTTTAGATCGCCTTTCACAAGATGATAAAATCCGGAAAAATATAGAGCACTGTTTTTACTATCAGTGTATATAGAGCGAAACTTTTCTCTACAATTTTATATGGTATTGACGTGCCTCTACCACTATTTTTTGATGTACTCGAAGTTGTTCTAGTTCCATAGAGCAACATACAATCAGAAATATCATTCTTCGAATTTAGAAACTTATTAGGTAAAATTAATTTCAAGATTCAAAATGGCTAAAAAATCTTTTCATAACGTTGATAAACATAAAAATAACTTGTAATAATATATAAATAGAATCTATCAATATCAAACAAAAAGCTGTTTCTTTTTTTTAATCTATGTCAATATTAACTTAATATTCAATTTCAAAACAATTTTTCACTTTTTCTAATTTTTGTTTTAAAAGAAATGAAATACAAGCAACAAACATGTTTTTTTTCTACGTAAAAGATTTGCTGTCAATGAATTATTTATCTATTTATATAACACTTATCAATATCAATTATTCACTACATTCTATTCTTTTTCTTTGTCAGTACTTGTTTTTCATCTCCAAACTCAAATTTCACAAAAAGTTTGTTCTTATGTTTCATGTTGTAAATTTATCTCGATTAGTACTAGATAACACCACCTTTTTGTTCTACGAAAAGATTTTCTACGATGCTAGCATGCAAGTCCACCGTTCTTATATCCGTATTAAAAATTTAAAAAAAAAATTATTTTCATTGAATATTGATTTGAAAAAAAGAATAATTTTCAAAAATCACTCAATAACTCGTAAATAAGTTTTATTTAAAATTGATATATTATCCTACTTATTTTCTTCTCAATAAACATTTATCTCATATAATATGCATTCTTGCAATTTTATGTTCAATAATCTTAGTAAGAATGATCAAGTAACATTCTATCTTTTTTTTCTATATGTTTGATGCATATTGTAAAAAGCTTCTTCTCACAAAAATGTTTTCTAATCTTTAACAATGTTTTTTTTCAACGGTCGAATACGTAATCCAAATATAATACCGATAGTTGTGTCTGATCGATCATATACACATAAACTAGGTCATTCATGTATTATTGCTGGTTGTCTATCGATTATCATTGGACTTAGCTTTATTATAACTGGTGTTATGTCCGAAACAAAAAAAACAACATTTATTGGTATTGGCATTATAAGTTTAGGTGTCGGTTTCTTTATTACAACACTTGTATGCTTTTATGCTAAATTAAATATATGTTATCATAATTGGGCTTATGGACAAAATGTTGTACCACTTAATATTCAAAATCCTCAACAAGCAACAACAAGTACTATATCAATGGGTCCTTATACAGAATCACTTTCAGTAACACAAAAAATACAATCGAGAATTCCTTTTTCAACATCATCACCAATGACAATGTTATCGGATCTAGAAATAAATAAAGTTATAATAGCACGATCAATAAAGATCGATAAGACAACGATGAGTACCGATAATATAACTTAACGCCTCTATAAAATTATCATCTGTTATTTTTTCCCATGGACATTTTTTCAATATTTTTCAATGTACAATATTATTTTATTTTTTTTGTCTCGTTTATTCGAAATAGACTTATAGAATGAAAACATTGGTTGGCTCGTTGATTCTTGTTGTATTTTTTGATATTTCGAGTATGTTTTAATATTTTTCTTTTTGTTATATATATATATTAAAATAAATTAGTACAATCACCATTGAATGATGATCATCGTGAAAAATTATCGAAATTAAATTTTCGTTCTTTACCATCTGTTTATCAACAAGCTTTACTTGAAGTTCGAGCTACATCTGAAAATCGTGAAGAAGATACAAAGTAATTTAAATCTCGTTAAGAAAAATATTTTTCTTAAAATTAAAAAGAAACGTTTAGTACATGGTGTTGTAAAAATGGTAATCCAGCTAAAATGAAAATTGTAACAACAACTTTTATTCGTTGGGAACCAACAGGACAAACTCAAGCTGTTCTTGCTGGTCATGAAAGTTGTGGATTTGGTGGATGGTCATCTTGTTCAGTATATGCTATTGAACATATGTAATTATTAATTTTTGAATATTAAAATTTAATAATTATTTAAATTATTTTCTTTTTTCAAGACCTACATCACATATTGATTATGGTCATGAACTTGTTCCTGATATTGAAAATAGTCAATGTCCAGAAAATCATATTGTTTGTTGCAAATCTATGGTTCCCGTAGCAGGTTTTTGCATGAGTAAATATATATACATAGTTATGTATTTTATATATTTATGAAAATGTTGTTTTATTTTATTAGCTATACGACAATTTAATCGTGTTGTTGCCGAATGGTCGAAATTACAAGCAACACATCCTGAAGCGACACTTGCTAGTCTTGTTGTTACACTTCAAAATAATGGCTTACGTTCATTACAGGGTTAAAATATGAAATAAATAGAAAGCAAGCGAGAAAAAAAAATTATAATAATAAAAGCAAAAAAAAAAAAAAAACTTTAAGGCTTCAATTTTTTAAAATAATTTTCCGATCGTGTAGATTTCCATCCAATTAAATCACGTATATTCATTTGATCGATATAATCATTAAAAAGTGATCGTACTTTTAAACCATTAATAATACCATATAATACTCGATTACGATTAAGATCAATATTGCTATTTACTAATGATATACTATAAGCTTTACTAGAAGATTCAATAGCTGAATCATAATGACCCTAAAGCAAAAAAAAGAAAAGTCTTAAGATAATCAAGAAAAACTATCAAATATATACCAAAGTTGCTTCAATAAAACCAAGTGTACCACATGCACGTGCATATTGATTATCATCTTCTTTATTAGATACTCTTTGTAAACATTTAGTTAAATATTCAGAAGTTTTTTCTACATTTTCTTTTCTAGAATTATAAATAAGACGATAATTTAGATAAAAATTTGTTTATTTTGATTTAAATTACTTTTGATAACAAATAGCAAGTGCTTCACTTGCTTGAGCAAAATTTTCATTATCATTTGCTTGTTGACAATAATCATAATATTTATGAAAATATTTTAAAGCTAATTCAATATCATTAAGTTCAAGATAGGCATGTCCTAATTTATAACTTATTTCATTTTCAAGTTTTTTATCATCACCTTAAAAAGAACAAAAATGAAAATTTGATTCGTTTTTTTTTTTTTTATTTTACTTTGTTTCGATGCTTCATAAGCTTTAATAATATATTTTAATGCTTGATTATCTCTTTTACGTTCAGCTAATTTTATATATAAACGTGTTAATTGAAGATTAGCATCTGTTTTTAATTGATAATAATCTTCACCGAATTGACGATATCTTTCAAAATAATTTAATGCTTTCATAAGATTACCTAAATAAATATAGAGATTTTCGAATGAATTTATTCGTATTCAATTATTGGTTAACTGATATTGATTTGAATTCAAGTTCCTAATTCAAATATGTATTCGACAAAAAAAAATAGTATTTATGTTCGTCGTTAAAAATTATTTTTCTGACCATAGTGGGTATCTCAAACGTGCAACTATAGATAAAATAAATGGATATCTTTTATTCATAGCAATCTTAGAGAAGAATCGAAGGACTGGCAACAATTTAGATTGGTAATGTGTGCAGCTAAGCTATTCTGGTTCCTGTCTCGATAGTTTTAGTTTTCTGGGTTGTAGTTCAGGGAAAACTAATATAAGATTTATTCGTATCATATCTAAACAAATTCTTCAAAGCTCTTTTTTTTTTATTTAGTCGACAACTAGCACATTTTTAGATCCGTCTCTCTTGGATTATGTTTTGATCGCTATGACTTATCAGATAAATCAGGGTAGTCCCGCAAAACCTCCGATGAAAAATATGTAATGACGAAAAAACTAATATCAAGTAGGAAAGTATTCCTCAGATTCATTATTGATGAAATCAAGGCTTCTGTTTTTTGAAAACGAACATTTAAAAAAAAAAGACATGAAACAATGTGTGATTTGGTATTTTCTAGTGATTTTTCGTTTTGGTACGAGAGAAAATTGCGGCAGTTTTTATATTGGATTGCTACTTCTCAAACATATCAATGGAATTACCATTAATTCACTCTCTCTAAACTTGACGATGTTGTCCTACTATGAAGAGAAGTCGTGAAGTCTCAAATTTTCCTCGTTGACTAATTTAAAACTTTTTAGTCGCCCTCTTTTATTTTTCATGTTAACAGGATGATCTTTCTTCTGGAACAAGCTTCACCTCTAATGGTTCGTATTATGAACTGTTTACAAGTCACTTTTTTTGGTCTGACCTGCAAGACAAAACAAGCCGACAGATAGTTCTGTTTTTCTAAAATTTATCAAGTTCTATAAGCTTATCATAATGTATCATTTACTTTCAGCTATGCATTTAACTAATTTTCATGAAAATAGTATAACAACAAGTTCTTAGATAAAATAGTGAATTAAACTAAAGAGGTAAAATATCAAAAATATTTCTCATACGAAAAACTGTCACAAAATCATAAACTTTTGATGTTATTTTAGGTTTCCTAACTATCTCCAAGGAATAAAAAAACCAAACAAAATACGATAATAATTATAAAATTTCATTGCAAAATGTTAAGATTTGTACAGAACGAGTCAACTTCTACGAATATGTCGAATGTCTGCACAACAATTAAAGAGAAATAAGTACAGACTCAATAACTAGGCAGCGGCAATAGCTAGTGAACTGTAGTGTTCAGCAATTGCAAAAATTTAAAGAAATTCATGAAAACGGTGATTATAAAAATCACATCGAAATGAAACACTGTTTTTCATGTATTCTTTTCAATATTTTGCGAAGATGATATGTATGAAAACAATCTTATCTTATAATATGTCCCAAGTTCTTCTTTATCGATTATTAAAAATCGCAGATCACTGATTATCATTGAGCTTACAACTACCTTTCCTTAATTCTGAGATGAACATTAGTTTCTATCCTCGTATTACTAATCTAACCTTTTCTTTCATATAATAATCCAACATTAAGATATGCTTCAGCTACTAGCTGTGAATCAAGTTGTGAATATGTTTGAGCAACAGATAAACATTTTTTATAAAATAAATCTGATAACCAATGATCATCACTTTTTAAAAAAAATGATGCTAATTCAATATAACCTTCATACATATTTGAATATTGTTCTAAATATTAAAAATATTTGATTAGTTGTTTTTGTTTTATCCAGAAGAAAAACTTGAACATACTTCTTCGTTCAGCATCTTCAATTATATTAAAATGTGTACAAAGAAAACGTAATTTATCTGGTTCTCCATCTAATAATGGTCGTCGATAATGTGGATGTTCATTACCTAATTTTTCTCGATCTTTTCTTTGCCATTCTAATACAGTACATAATTCACGAAATGATTGATGATTACCTTGACGAAGCATATCTATAGATAATTGACGTTGTAATGAATTTCGATATCTATTCGAAAATAAAACTTTATATATGAAATATTTTATTTTTATTGTTTTATACTTTTCTGTATCTATTTTTTGAAGTGATGGTTGTTTTTCATAAGCTTTAGCAGAATTTTTTAATTGTTTTAATGAAAGCTAAATTAATTAGAAGCATTAAAATAATGACAAAGAAATAGAAGAAATTTTCTATAGACTTGATGTTTTTCTTCAGAAGTTTTACTTGGCAAAATAACAGTATGAACAATTGTTGAGTGATTTTTGCCATTTGTTTTATTTGTTGCTTTTTTACGATGAATAGATGTTTCCGCTAGAATAAGTTCATATTATACGTTAATATTTAATAAAGTATTAAAATATATGAATTAAAAAGACATGATTCCCATTTATTGTTTTACGTACCCATTTAATAAAAGTAATATTAACGTATCTAACAACTTCTGTCAATGTTATAGTTACTTCAGTTATCTATTCTCTTTATCATTATTTAAAAAAAAAAAATCTCTTATCAAGTCATACTCTAACGACATCTATTTTTAGAGATCAACAAGCCTTTTGTTTGTTAACCATAATGTTTGATTTTAGATTGAAAAAAAATTTTTTTTTTAAATATATTAATTCTTAGTAAGGAAATATCGATTGAATATATATAATAACCAATAGAATCCATCCAAATCTTTAATTGAATGACTCGTCATCATCGTCACATCATTCAACAGCTGTTGCTATAGACTAGTTGAAGAATAAACATGATTAGGTTTTTGTCTTTAATAAGTTTTATTCTTATTCTGTACATTCCATCAATTGAAAATGTTGATCGAAGTAATTTCAAAACATGTGAACAAAGTTCATTTTGTCGGTTAGTTTTTTTTTGTATTATATTGTTGAAAATAAATTAATAATAGAATAATTTTCTTTTATTAGACGTCAACGTAAATATAAACCTGATACAACACCTTATGAAGTTGATCTAACTTCAATGAAAACAATTGACAAAGGACATATACAATTTGTTTTACTTAATACATTAAAATCTGAAGTTAAATTTCAATTAGATTTATATACACTTGAACATAATTCATTACGTGTTAAAATTAATGAAATAAATTCATTAAGAAAACGTTATGAAGTTGAACATGTTCTTGTTGGTGAACCAAAACTTGTTGAGTAAGAAAAATTAAAATTATAAACATTATATATTTCAATTTTTGTTTGTATTAGTGTCAATATTAAAAAAAATGATAATAATCAAATTGAAGGACGATTTGGTCAAACAGCTAAGTTTATACTTAGTGCAAAACCATTTCGTTTGGATTTATTTACAAATGATATATTTGTTATAAGTGTTAATTCAAAAAATATGTTTAATTTTGAACATTATCGAAAAAAACCAGGGTATTAAAGATTCATTTTTCTTTTTATCTTAGAAAATGATTTTATTTTATTGTTTATTTAGATCTGATGGAGCAGCAGTTGAGAATAATGTAAGTTTTTAAATGAATTCAAATTGATAATACATGATTATATTAAAAAGTAGAAAATTGACTTGATTAGTTCAGAGTATATTTCGAGATTACCTATTAACATCCAGTCAATGATAGTATATATTCATAGGATTTTCATTCTTCATTTTTTACTTGTATTTGTACTGGGATAAAAGTTAAGACACTATTTTTGTATAAAAAAAACCCAATACTGCGATGGAGAAATGAAAGATTAGATATTCTTCGTTTTAATTTGAATAGTATTAACTTTCGTCTTTGAAGAAAGTTTTCTATTGTTTACAAATGATTGTATATCATTTAAAAAATCATGCCTAAGTATATAAATCATATTGACAAAAAAAGTTCTTTTTTTCACTAATGACATCTATGAAAGACTTTGACCCCTGATGTATCTAGAGGGAGTTTATAAAGGAATATTTTCAACTGTACAATCGTTTTACGATTGAGAATGTAGTTATTCAATCGATCCTTTAGTCTCTCAGTGATTCTATGCTCTTAGGATAATAAAAAAAAACAAGTAAAACATTCATAACTTCAGAAGCGAACATTAAAGAACTGAATCATAGAGGTTGCTTCACTACCAATCAATTGCCAATAGTCTTAAGTGGAGTGTATGGTATACCCATTCATCAGTCATACTGCTAGAAGGCATTTAGAAACGTTACCAAAAAGACTCCGCCTCCTCTATCGTCACGAGGTGAAAGCTAAGTAGCTTTACAGCTTTTTTTCTCCAAACAATATGTTGTGTCATACTCTGTTGGCGGGATCCGGACAGTTGCGCGCAGACAATTGCTCACTAGGACATTTGCTCGCGAATGAAATGACTATTCATTGTCAATGAAAGAATTCAGAACAGAATTGATTCAACTAATAGGCTGTACGTAGAGCACATTGACGATCATGGTCTTTATAAAGAATAGTTGTATTCAATCATCACAATCATATAAAAAGCAGTGTCAGTCGTAGAACAATGCATTAAGAAAACAATCATGTCAGTTACTCTTTCAATAACATCAAAAAACGCTCCATTACTTATTTACGACGGATATTCTTACATTAGCGATAAACGAAATGACAAGAAAATATTATGAAAATGCGAACATGTCAGAAAATTTAAATATCGTGGACGATTAAAGAATATTTTCGTATATCTCATAGAAATATTTCGAAGCATTTTTACGAGCAAATGTCCTAAACCCTCTGATGGCGCATATTGCCCTAATTTTGTATGAAAAATGTTATTTTAAGATGTAAAAACGATGACTGTGAAATGAAAAAGATAGAGATGCACAGAATTGTCCTACCCTACAGGTCAGGATAGGGTAACAGGTAAAAACTTTTTCTCGTAAAAAAAATCTCATAGAAAAAGTGTATTTAAAATATTTTTTCTTGGATTTAGAATGAAGATAATGAAGATGGAATGTGGGAAGAAACATTTAAAAGTCATCATGATTCGAAACCATATGGTAAAAAATTATTTATTTATTTTTTTTATAAATTATTGATTATAAAATACTTTTAATTTTACTTTAAGGTCCATCATCAATTGGTGTGGATATAAATTTTCTTAATTTTGAAAATGTTTATGGTATTCCTGAACATGCTGATGCATTTTCACTTAGATCAACACAGTAAGAAATCAATTATTTTCTAAATTACATAAAAATTTTTTTATTTTCAGTGATACTGATCCATATCGTTTATATAATCTTGATATATTTGAATATGATATTAAAAATCCTATGGCTTTATATGGTGCAGTACCTTATATGCTTGCTCATAAGTAAATTTAAATCTAAATCAAATATATATATAATCCATTCATTAATCTTTAGTGAACATGCAACTGTTGGTTTCTTTTGGTTAAATGCTGCTGAGGGTTGGATTGATGTTCTTAATGATAAATTAAATGCGAAAGTAAGTTAATTTATTTAATAGATAATCATATGTGTGATAGATATAATTATTTTTTTTGTTTTTGTTTGGTGAATGGTCCTTTTCTTTTCTTTTTTTTTTCCTTGCAGAACAATTGGTTTACGGTTCAGGTAATACAAGAAAAAAAAACTGAAAAAAAAAACTTAACTCATGAAATAATTTAAAAATCACTTTGCTGCATATATCTACAGTGAAGAATAAGAATGTTTTTGTTTCTTATTGCTTTTATTTCTCAAAATGAAAATATTTCAATATGTTTATATGTATGATTTTGCATAAACTAATGCAGTGGTGATATATATATATTTATTTTTTTTTACAATAGAATATATCTTGTATATGTATAAATTATATGAAAATATTAAAATAATATTTTTATTTAGAATTTATTCTCAACTATAACAAATTTTTTTGGTACAAAATCAAATAGTGATCATAATGAAGTACCTGAAGTGACAACACATTGGATGTTTGAAGCAGGCATTTTTGATGGTTTCTTTTTTATGGGTCCAACACCAAATGATATTTTTAAACAATATACAGCCATTACAGGAACTACACCACTTCCACCGGTATACCATCGATTTTGTTCTTATAAATGAAAATATCCGAATTAATGTTTGCTGTTTGAGTTCATATACATGAATCTAAGTTTTAACCGTTATATTAAGTTAGAGTCAATGCATCTAGTACAACTCGATGAACTTTATCCAACGTTAAAAATTGTCTATTGATATATGTTTTAATAACTGAGAAAAAAACAAAAAAAAAGTTGTTAATGACATATCGCCGTACTAATAATGACCATAGGTGTAATAAGGATTTCTTGACAATAGAATATGTAAAGTTTTCGTCATCGAGCTATAGTTGAAAAATGTTTCCAGACGAATTGACTCTCAATAAAAGGTTAAATTACGAACCTAAACATAGCCTACATCACAAAAATAGAGTTTACCTGAAAACTCAATATCTCAACAAAGGTAGAGTCTTTTCATTTGAAACTTTCTGAATATTCTCAGACTCATTCTACGGACGAAATTTAGTTGTTTCATTTTTTTGGTAAATATGTAAGACGATTATGATCACGAACCCTTTTAGGATTTTCTCACTCTTATTGAGACGTTCTTGTGAATCCAATATGAGCTAAAACAGTGGATATTGATTTGGTCAGCTCTCTTGTTAGAAAAGTAATTAAGGATTTATTATTTGTTTAAGCTTTGGGCAATTGCATATCATCAATGTCGTTGGAATTATAATGATGAAGATGATGTACGAAGGTTTGTTTAATTTTGAAGAAAATTATTTTAATTATGTTAAGGAGAAATATATTTTTTTTTAAATTAGTGTTAACAATGGTTTTGAACAACATCAAATTCCAATGGATGTTATTTGGCTTGATATTGAACATACAAATGGAAAACGTTATTTCACTTGGGATACATCGAAATTTCCTGATCCAGAAAAATTACAAGATGATTTAGCTATTTATGGAAGACGAATGGTTACTATAACTGATCCACATATAAAAAAAGATGATGGATATCATATATATGCTGAAGCTAAATCAAATGGTTATTTTGTTAAAACAAAAGATGGAGCAGATTTTGAAGGATGGTGTTGGCCAGGTAAGAATCAATTGAGTTATTTTCGAATATGAAATTTTTAGCAGTATAGTAAAACACAATTGTGTTTGTTCCAAATTAAAAGTCAGAAATAAGAAAATTTCTAGAGCTTTCAATTGTGTACCTGTAAGAACTATGGATACTCATGATTATCTTCATATTTATTTGTAAAAAATGGATGTTCGTAGTTTTCTACAGATATTTCCTTTGCTATGTTCTGATTCTGATTACAAGTGAGAGTACAGAAATAAAGAACAAAGGCTAAATAAATTTATCTTCATTGAGATTATCAAAAACAGAAGAATTGTAGATCTTTTACTATGATAATATTTTCTGCTATCGTTATGTATTGATTTTTTCTTTGTATCTATACTAACAACTTTTAACAGTCATGATAGAAAAGATCAGTTTGATGAAGCGCAACCCGGTTACTACTTAATATGAGAATGTGTTATTTTAATGAAAGTTTTTTGGAATTCGAATTTGTTTCTTCGAAAGATAAAATATTGAATTATATGTCGACGTAAATATGTTAACTCTTGATGTAAAGAGATTTGGAAAGGAACTATTGGAACTACGTGAGTTGAACTTTCTGGTTCAGAAAAATAGCATAGGCGATTCTCTTTTATTATTCATATATCTACTAAGTTCTCAGTTTTACATTTTACTAAATACAAACTCAAAACATGTTCTCTATTTTGCACTACTTAATTTCAAGGAATCGAGATTAACGAGGGGACTTTAGTAAGTGATAGATATCGTATGAAATAAGTTTTAGTTTTATGTGGAAAGAATTCCTGTCGTCGGATCTTTATTCTTGAGTTTTAATCATTCTAATGATTTTTTTCAACAAATGCTATGTTCATTTTAAAAATCGATTGTCAAATTTTGAAGAGCAAACACTGAAGATTTCAAGCTTGAAGTTTTTTATTTTCTGCAAATCGACTTATATCAATGATAGAAGTTCACTATGAAAGTGTCAGATTTTTGAATATCATCTATCCTTACATACCAATATTGAAAATTGTATTATTCGAAAAAGAAATTCGTTTCTATTTTGGTATCTTAAGAGAAGAAATATAACATAATGAGACACTTTTACAATGAATTAGTACCATTGCAAACTTCGTATTTTTGAATATTTTCAGTTCAAAAAATGATCTGAAACAACATAGAATTTTCTCTTGAAAAACATCACTACAGTGATACTAACTTACGAAGAAAAACTCATAGACATAAATCATATCACAAGCTATTTATCACCTATTGAGTTTTCTTCCTAAGAATTTGAAATCGATTGATTTTTTCAAGAAGAATTATTAGCATACAAACATTCAAAGATCTAATTTATTTATAACTAGGTTCTTCAATGTGGCTTGATTATTTTAATCCAGACATCTTTAAATGGTATTGTAAACGTTATACTTATGACAATTATAAAGGTTCAACACCAAATCTTTTTATTTGGAATGATATGAATGAACCATCTGTATTCAATGGACCTGAAGTTACATTTCCAAAAGATATTATTCATCATGGTGGATGGGAAAATCGTGATGTACACAATTTATATGGTATGCTTCAACATATGGCATCATTTAATGGTCTTGTTGAACGTTCCAATGGACACACACGTCCATTTGTATTAACACGTTCTTTTTTTGCTGGTTCACAACGAACAACAGCTGTTTGGACAGGTGATAATGCGGCTCAATGGAGTCATCTAAAAATCGCTGTGCCAATGTTACTTAGTTTATCAGTAACTGGTATTACATTTGTTGGTGCTGATGTTGGTGGATTCTTTAATAATCCTGATCCACAATTACTTGTTCGATGGTATCAAGTATGTTACTAACAAAAAAACAACAACATAAGTTTTTCAATTACTTTTGACTACAAGAACCCGTTAGGTTGAGTTCGCGTTCGAAAAGTTTTCAACATGATGGGCTCCTAATCGTCAGGGAAAGGTATGGGAGCCGCTAGTTAGGAAATACAGAAAAAAACAGAAAAAGCATCACCTGTCTTTGGGGCGACTATCCAATTCCGATTAGAAAATTTACTTGATACTCTAACAATACGATTTGATCAGGTCGGAGTCTGAAAATATTCAGCCCATCGAACTCCACTGTGTAGTGTTGATGGATAGCGTTATCTATTGACATTTCAATGGTACGTTGTAGAACATGATAATAGGTACACTCTTAGATAGAGAAAGTTCCGTTTTGTAGTCAAAACTTTCTAGTTACCTTTCGCATTCTGAATAATAATGTGTTTTTATTAGGCTGCAGCATTTCAACCATTCTATCGTGAACATGCACATATTGATACAGCTCGTCGTGAACCATGGCTATTTGGTGATGATAATACACGACTTATTCGGCAAGCTATTGAACAACGTTATACTTATTTACCTTATTGGTATACATTATTTTATAAACAAGAAAAACAAGGTTTACCACCAATGTTACCATTATGGGCTAATTTTCCACATGATAAAAATACATTTAAAACAGAAGATTCATTTATGATTGGTATATATAATCAATAAAGAAAATAAATTTGTTTGAGGTTATATGTTTTTTTTTTTTTGATAGGTAATGGTCTTCTTGTCTGTCCTATAACAGAAGCGGATACAAATCAAGTTTCAATTTATTTTCCTGGAGAAAATACAGTAAGAAACATAAAGAAAAGGAATATTTTTATGAAAATTATTTTTTTGTTTTGTTTACGAATAGATTTGGTATGATATACGAACATTTGCTCAACATAATGGTTCAACTTTAAGTCTTATTAATGTTGATATGGAATCAGTACATTTACAAAAAATGAATATCTATATTTAAATAATATTAAAAATGATCTTCTGATATATTTAGATTCCTGTTTATCAACGTGGTGGTGAAATTATTCCACAACGTTTACGAAAACGACGTGCATCAATGCTTGCTATAAATGATCCAATTACTTTAATTGTTGCACTTGATCGAAATGTAAGAGATTGAATTATCACAAAATGATACACTGAAAATAACTAATGTTCTATATTTCTAACGAAGAAAATCATCCATCAAATAAATGGATTTTTAGATTATAGTCTTCATTTAAAACATACCGGAAAAGTACAATATCCTCCAATTGATTTATTGCGGAATCAGTATCAGGCTTAATACTTTTTCCTTTGGAAAGATATCTTTTCTAGTCGTGTATAACTTGTCTTATAAGTGTCTATGTTCTGATATACACTTCCTCTTGTAGCTAGACTATTGTACCCCAACACCGCAAATTAGCCGAAAAGCAAAGATATTCTTCCTCTTCCTAGTTAGAACTGTTATAGATCTATTCAATATTTCTTTGAAATAATCATTGTTATTGTTGATTGCTTAGCATGAAGCTGAAGGTGAACTTTATATGGATGATGGTCAATCATATGATTATCGACAAAAACATCAATTTATTCATCGACGTTTTGCATTTAAAAATAATGAGCTTAAATCAATGTATGTTTATTAATTTATTTATTTTTTTTATTTAACTTGAACTTATTTTAATATCTATTTTCTTTTTAAAAGATCTCTTGATTCAACAGCTAAATTTGAAACAGAGGCTTGGATTGAACGTATAGTTATTCTTGGTTATCCAAAAAATCCAAATCGTTTAACAATTAATTCAGGCGATAAACAAGCTATTCCACTTCATAGTTATCAAGATGCATCTCAAACACTTATTATTCGACGACCAGGTCCATCTGTAACAGCTGATTGGACACTTACACTTTCATAAAATAATAGATATTCTTAGTTGTATGCTTGTTATCTGTTTGTCTATCTTTTTCTTTTTTCATTTGTTATCTGGTGATTAATAAAGATTGCTTATGTGTGCTGCTTTTTATTTTCTTTTTTTTTTTGTCATCAAACAAAGCGGTAAACTAGAAGATCTTATCAGTCACTAGCACAATTTTATTTTATTTTGAATACACAAAAAAGAGTCATGATGAAAATAAGGTTGATATGTTTTGGACTAATTCTAAATTGTTTTATTTATCTTACTTATGCACAACATTTTGAATGTAATTCAGTTAATGGATATAATACGAAAGATTTAACAAGGTAAGAAAATGAAGACAAGAATTAAGAATTTCTATTAAATAGAAAAACAAAAAACTCTAGTGCTATCCAATGGCAAGTTACAACAGAGGACCAATGTCTTAGTAATCTTGCAGCTGAGTGTAGTTTTTATATAAGTTTTTGTCACCAAGGTAAGGTTTTGTTTTGTAATAATAACAAATAATGATTAATTTTTATTAGCACCTATGTGTTTTAATGAATATTCGGCATGTCAAAATGGAACAGGAACAACAAATGTAACTATTATTGGTGGATATAATAGTTCACTTTTTTATCCATATGGTAAATTTATTTTAGAAATAGTTTTCATGAAACATCAATTTTCAATCGATATAGATTTCTTTCATTTAACTAAGGTGACTAGTTTTATTTCGATACTCATTAAAAGTTAAGAATTTTAGGAAAAAAGAAATATTCTCTTGACATTATTAATAAAAATATCAATAGTTTTATTAATTCGTTGAATATTTTTCTTTTTTTTTTTTATTTATAATTAATTTTATTTAGAAAATGGAAAAATTGGTTTTTATGCTAAATTTCCTAATGGTCCAACTCAAAATATATCAAATACAACACGTTGTGAACCATCATTAATAATAAACTTTAATTGTAATACTAAAGTAAAATGGTTTGCTCCATTGTTTAATGCAACAGCATCTGCACCACAACCAACTGATATTGACATTGATCAATGTAAGGTAACTACATTTTAATTTAATATTTTATATGAGATTCATTTTATTTTGTAATAATAATCTTTTTTGTTTTCTAGACTACTCTAACTTTTGATTATGACGGAGCATGTTTTAATGGACAGGAACCATCAAACGGTCTAAGTGGTGGAGCTGTTTTTCTAATCATGTATGTTTAGAAACAAAAAAAAAAATTTACTTCTAATTTTTAAAATATAATACAATAATTGATTGGTATTCTTTTTAGTTTATTTTCTGTTACTTTTGTTTACATGGTTGGTGGTTTGCTCTATAATGGGTTCGTTCAACATAAATCAGGTCTTAATTTACTTCCGCATGCACAGTTTTGGATTGGTTTACCATTATATGCTATTGTAAGTTGATAATCATTTTCTAGGAAATGATTGTAATTCGAATGAATTATTTTATTATAGGAAGGTTGTCGAACTTCACTTGGTTTATGTTCTTGTTCATCAACACCAAGTCAAGCAACATATGAATCTGTTTAAATTACACAAATTTTTCTTGTCTTCTTTGTTTGATGCTCTATTTTGTGTGTTCATTCACTCGATTATTTATTTTTTCTATCTTTCTGAACAATTGCAAACTTAATAAAAATAATAGAAAATCATATGTATTTAAACTTGAGTAACAAAAAAAATTTATATAATAAATTAGTTAAACTATTTTGATATGAATTTAAAGAAATAATCATTGATGATAAACATTTGATTCTAATAGAAATTATATTTATATGTATTCATATGTGTTATGTATTATGGGAGAATACCTTGAATAAAGAAGAATTTCAAAGTTATTCATAAAGAACATCTAGGTAAAAATCGTATTTTTTTGGCTCCTCTGAGATGAAGAAGTGGTTGACTAAAAGTAATATTGAAGAAGAAATTTAATAGTGGAGTAAAGATGTGAACGATGAAGAAACAATTAATAAGATGAATATTTGTGTAGACTGAATGGATTATTGAGAGTAATGAGAAAACGATCAAAAAATTTAAAATGAGTGTTATAATAAATATAGAAATCAAAGCAATTACAAATATGAATATGGTAATCACAAGAAGGCCTGCTGCTAGATAAAAAGTAAATTAAAATTCAATCCTTTTAGTTGATATTTTGACTACGAATACAACTTGGTAAATTATGATCGCCAGCACCAACCGAACGGCGATAGGTCTTAATGTATAGGATTAACGATCAAAACACTGTTTTTTGCTCGGACCCGAAAAAAAGCTTTTCGGAATTATCCGTTATTTAACTATACTTACCTCTATTTTCTTATTAACAAATAAAGATTCTCAAATATATATTGTGTTATAGATAAGATACTTGAATTCGTTGCAATCTTGAGGCGTGAGAAAACAAATACTGTCTGTGACAGTCCCAGCATGAATTGCTCCTTCATCGATAGCTGTACGATTGCAAAATTTTGAAGAAAACTTGATTAGAGTAGCGTATTAATTGGAGAAAATTTCAAGGCTAATTGTTAAAACAAGTTGAAGATATAGATCAGTTTGCAACGATTATCATCAACTCTCATGTTAGCATGAAGAGTCTATTGTCATGAGATTCACACGCAACAAGTACCCTCCTGGACATTCACTAAAAACAAAGAAATAACTTTCTGAAGAGACTGCTTATTCATGTATACCGCTTCCTTTTTATGAAATAATAGTTCATGAAATACATAAATGACTATGAAAAAGACAAGTAAAAGTTTAACCGATTACAAAGTTTTTGTTTTTTTTAATACATATAATTTTAATGACCAGAAAATAATAAAAATAAAAAAATGAAGTTGAATATAAAAAATACTCAAAAATCTAATAGTATTCATATTACTGTGCGAGAAAATAGCTAGCTGCGCATGCGGTAAAGTCTTCAATTATTTCAATTGATTCATTCATTTCATTTCTTATTTAAAAATACTCTTTAAAACGCCCTAGGCTTCAATATTTTCACTAAAAATTGTCCGTATCTACGCCTACATTCTTGAGAGATGATAAACGTAAGTTGAGCACAAAATATAGCCTTTCTAAATGAATAAAACACATATCACTCTGGTAGATGGGAAAATGTCTGCTATACCTCTGTTCAGTTTTTACGCAGCCTCTTCTCTCTTTACTTGAATGTACTCTATGAATGACTCCTTAGAGAAGTTAAAACAGCATAAAACTGATGACAATGCATGGTTTACTATCGTTACCCAAAGATTAGTTTACATAAAAAGATGCGCAATGATCCGATGATTAAATAAGGAAAATGAATCATAAGAAAGTCATTTTTTAACATCATACTTTTGAAGTAGACAAGAAATTCACAATGCTGGAATAAAATAATAGATTGGGAAATTTTTAGAGACTATAACAATTTTCTGTGACATCGTAGAATTCATTTAAATTTGTCAATAGCAAAATTTGTTAATAAAGTTTTCATGTAGTTGAAAAAATCAGTTATGTTTCTCATAGAATTACTCTTAAACATAAGCAATGATTTTTGACTACATATTCTTTATACTATATGTGCATATTTTCTGTCCGAGACATTGATCATTTTGAGTTAATATAAAAAAAACACAATTTATTCTCGTTTTCTCAGAATAAAGACTTCTCTAGCAAATCATTCTTAAATTGAATGAAACAATAAATTTCGAAGTTCTCCAAGGTCTATAAAATTTCTTGTTTTGTTTCTTTTGAAGTAGATCATAAATAATCTCACGATTGTTTATACTATTGCTAAGAGCAACGTTTAATAAATCAGTACATAGTTCATTCTTTCAGCTTTTCTTTTACATGCTTTATTTATATATACAAATATATATATTCTTTCAGACACTTAACTCAATTGATCCTCGAAGAATTTATAACATTACTAAACATAAGGATTATTAATCGTTTTGAAATGATGTTGTCTATGCTCTTCTTCGTTATCTCTCTTGTTTTATTTACTTTTCTCTTCACTCCTTATGTTCTTCTTTTTTTTTATATTTGCTTTTCGTTGAGATTTCATAAAAGACAGAGAATAGTATGAGTCGTTTCTATTTGCTCTTACTGATAACTGCAAAAGGCAGGTTTTTCTTTTTGTATTTTTTTTTTCGTATATACATAGTCTCTTTTTAGTTTTTGTAAAAGATGAAAGTCATTGATTTTTTTTCATACCAATCATTCGAGTATATGTATTTATTGTACCTATAGATAACAGTTTGACCTGACTGTTGTTTGTAGTGATTTCAAATCTTTAAAACGAATTTTTTTCTAATTTCAATTGCACGTGCGCATATTTCACTTATATATATGAATATGTTGGAAAGAAGCGTCTCATATTCGTGAGTCAAAAAGAAAAAGAAAAAGAAGAGAAGAATAAGAGAAAATAACTATACTTTGTCGTTTTATTTCGACTTTTTTTTCTTTAATTTGAATACATACAACACTAACAGTTTAGCTTTTTGCCTTGTCGTATATATATCAAGTACAAAAGAAAAAAGAAAGGTAATAAATCTAATTCTTACAAGCTTAAATTATTTTGTGAAACATTGCTCTATCTTTTTTCTTTGGTTTTTTTTTACGTTATGACAACTGTCGTTTTATAACTATAATAACAAGTGATAATTTTTATCAAAATTTTTTTGTAGCCTCATTTGGAATAAGAATAATAGACATAGAGAAAGAGAAGAGTCTTATCATTAGACTCCCATAAAAAACATTTGATATAGTACAGTCATACATTAAATTGAAATACTATGGCGTTAAATAGTAAGTTTGTTTAACCAATTAAAAAAGAAAAACTAAGCATCATTTAAACCAATGATACTTTTTAAAGTCAACAAAAGAATCTAACGAAAAACAAAAAAAAAGTTCTTTTTTCTTTTTTCTTTTTTGTTTTATTATCTTTAGTGGCATTATTTTATTATAAATATGTCATCACCTTGGACATCAAACAATGGAAAATCATTAATTACATCAATGATTAAAAATGAACATACAAATGATGATGAACATAGTAATCTTTCGAATAATAGTAATACAACATCATCATCAACAACAACAACACAAATTAATCAATCATCAACAAATAATCAACAACAAATATCTATAAATGAACCAATCTATTCGGTACCAACAACATTAAAAAATTTAAATATTATTACTTCGAATAATTTACAACAAGAACAATATTCATCGACAAATGGTAAGATAAATTACAATATTTTGTTATATATACATTAGTCATATGAATTCCCACTACTGAATAACAAATAGAAAAACTTTAATCCATGTGTCTGATATTTTGTCGATACATAGAACTCGATAAAGTCAAATTGCAAGCATCAATTGAAGAGCAATAGGTCTTAATACAAAATATTTACGAGGGAAATATTAGTTTTTTTTCCCTTTGGACCTCAAAAACGAAAAAAAGATTTTTTAAACATTTTTCACATTTTCTACGATTTAACCGCATTAACTCCTATGTTCTTAGTAAAAAATAAAGATTCACATGTCTACATTGTATCGCACAAAGATTAGACTTCAATCCGCTGTAATCTTGAGATGCGAAGAAGTCTCCATTGTTTGGAACGGTCTCAACATAGATTTCTTCTTCATAGATAACTGCAACTATGTGATTCTCAATGAAAACTTGATTAGAGCATGACATTCACTAGAGAAAATTTCAAGGTTAATGATTAAAATTAATCGAAGATACAAATACATTTTTAGCAATTCCCATAAACTTTCATGTAAAGATTACATCATAAATCAGACAAACTAGAATCGTTTTTTTGTTATGACTCAGTTATATATGGTATTTTCCTTTTCTCTTTCTTCGCTTCTCTTTATATCGTATAGATGTTTTCCATCTCATCATGTTTTCTTTCAAGTATTGTTAGGTTTTATGTTAATGATTAAACTAAAAATTAAAATTAAAAAACTTTTCTCAACTATTGTAAATACTTTATTATTATTATTTATATAAATTAGATACATCTCCATTTGTTGGTCAATTTATCAGATCCGATCTTCAATCATATACAGATCCAATAGTTTATTATGGTGATGGTATGATTGATCCACTTCAACAAAACTATCCGCATTTACAACAAGGTAAAAATAAAACAATTTATTTGATTCGAATAAATTCTTTTTCTTTTTCTTTTTCTTTTTTTTTATAGTTCTTTATTCTCCATCAATATCAAGTATTCATCATCCACAAGAATTATCTTATGACGATACAACTAGAACACGAACAATTGTTTATGATAATGGTACAATTCAAACATGGCCATCAAATGAAACTCAACATTATTTAACATATCCTTCAGCAGCATTATCGAATATGAATGAATTAACACATCTTCATCAACATCAAAATGATCAAATACATTTATGGCCAGATCCTACAAATGGTGGACCATTTTATCAATATCCTAGTAAGATGTTTTGTTTTTTTCTTTCTTTGTTTGAAACAATAATAATGTTTTATACTTTAGATGGTCCTTGTTTTGATACATCTGATGCACGTGAATGTGTTAATTGTGGAGCTGGATCAACATCATTATGGCGACATGATGTTACAGGTCATTATTTATGTAATAATTGTTATTTATGTCATAGAGTAGAGAGTCCAAATGGATCATTACAACGATCAACTCGACATATAGTAAGAAAAATTAAATTTATAATATTGTTTTCTTTTTTTTTCTGCATTTTTTTTATTTAGGAAGATGATGATCAACATCGATCATCTGCTATAGATAATTCTTTTTCACTTCCTCTTTCACAATCATCAACAAAAGTCTTAACTTCATTAGCACTTGGAAATTCTGATAGATCTTGTGCAACAATTAAAACTAACGATTCAGTAAATTATTAATTGAAATAATATAATAATTTATTATTATTGTTGTTTTTGTTGTTTTTTCTTTTTTTGTAATATGTAGAATAAGCCAATTTCTGCAACGAACAATAAACAAGTAAATTTGTTTCTTATGTATCTATATAATAAATAAATAAATATAAATTTTAATAGAATATATCAAATTCAAGACGAACAGGTCTTCAATGTGCTAATTGTCAAACACAAACTACAACTTTATGGAGACGAAATAATGAAGGTGATCCTGTTTGTAATGCATGCGGTTTATATTTTAAACTTCATCATGTAAGAATATGAAAAAAAAATTGACAGAATGAATATAGATTTTAATGAATCTTTCTTATTTTTATGATTGAAATCAAAAATTTATAGCAGTCGAAAAAAAAACACTTTTCTTAGCTGATTGTAGTCGAAGTCAGAAGTGAAATCAGTATCGATTATCAATCGAACTTATTTACTTTCCTACTTCTATTATATGAATTTAAATAGGAATCTATGTCGATATTAATCATATTAAGTGAGACTATCTGAAGATGCAAATGGTTACCCATTGTTTGATCATATATTAAATTCACAACGAGGTTTTAGTAAGGCTAGAAAAAAAAAACACGAAAAGGTTCATTTTCCATGAGCCTTTGGAACTCAATTAGGAACGTTTTATTGGATTTTTGATTTACCTTAGGATGTTTACCGAAAACTAAAAAAAAAATAGAATTTCCGTGTGAAATTTGAGTTATAAATAACGAGGTATGTTCAGATTTCCGAAAAAGAAAATTACGGAAATTTCCAAGAACACGTAAACTCACAGAAAAGTATTTTTGAAAATTTGGAAGGTTAAAGAAATTTTGGAAATTTCAGAAATTACCAAATTTTTCGACGTAACGGAGTCTTCAGAGGTATCACTTCCAAATTTTCCGTAATTTCCTTTTTTTGGAGGTCTAAACACTGCTGTAAATAACAGATTCAATGACTCGTAGAATATCATAAAAGCTTCAGCCGAAAATGGTGTTTTTGTATGAAGATACCTGACTGCCAAATAATAATCGTTTGCACAGGCATGAGACAAAAATTAAGCTTAATTAAAAATTCAATATCTTGATAAAAAAAAAAAGATCATTATTTTCAATTGAAACTCTTAAAGTATTCTATACATCATTCAACCCGGCTATGAGCAAAATTTTACATCGGCATTCTAGTTTTTGATATTTCAGTATATATCTAAAGGCGATTCCAAAGATCGATAGTAAACGAATTCTTTTAAACTGTTGCTATCATCACTAAGCTATCCTTCTTGGTTCAAAATGGATTCAAACGTCGAGTATCATTTCAAATGGTTCCATCATTAGTGAAAAAGAGATTATCAAGTTTGTCTTAGTTATAAAAAAAAAAATCAAAAATAAAACTTTGTCAATACATTCAAAATAATTTATTTAAAAAATTTTGAATTTCATAAATTCTAATTAATCTTAAAAACTACTATCATGTGAAATAACGAATTATTTTTATATTTATATGATTGTTTAGGTTGCACGTCCAATGAATATGGTTAAAGAAGGTATACAAACACGTCGTCGTAAACCAAAAAATAATAATGGAAATTTAACAGTAAAATCCAGGCCAACTAAACATACAATTTTAACTGCACCAGTTAAAGAAGCTAAAGAATGTACATCTCAAACAAATCTTAATCATGGTTTAAAAACAACACAAGAAGAATATATGACACGACAAGGAAATTATCAATATAATGAATTATATCCACAACATTTGCATTTACTTCATAATACATATCCACCATCATTTGAACAACATCAACGTTATCTTTCTCAACAACAAATAGATATGGCAACAAATGGTTTTGTTGATACTGAATCATGTTCAAGAAAAATTGTATCATCACCTATTTTATCTACAAATTCATCAACAATAAATAATATGACTAATAATGAAGTACAACATGTAAATGTCAATGCGACTCCTAATAATAATCAATCGTGATAAAACTTTTTGTGTGTATTTTTTTTTTGTTTGTTTTCGTTTTTTTTTTTATGTAGACACGATTATAGTAAAAGATGAAAGTGAACTATTTGTGATGTGTTAATGATTTTGTGTTTTTAAAAGGAAATAAATAATTTGTATTTGTTCGTAAAATATTATTTTTAGACAATATAGAAATGCATTTGACAACAAAAATTCAATTAGAATTTTTCTTTATTAAAATCACTCAGGTTAATGATTTCGAAGCCTTTCCGTTTTTGGAATACTGCTTCTAAGTTCTATCGGTTTCTAATGTTTTCCTGTCAGCTCGAATAAAATCTAATTGTTTACTACGTTCAGGAACTATTAAACTGAGACCGAAAGATTAATAATCAAATAAAGATTTTGTTTTGAAATTGTCTATTATTTTTATATTATCCAATCAAATTTTTCTATCTAAATATTTTTGCATTTTTCAAAGATTTTTCTAACTAAAACGAAAAAAAAACATCAGGGAGAAGTTCGCATTGTTATATTAAAGTGTCATGCTGAATTGAAAATCTCTATCGCTCATATTCTACAACAAAGAGTATAAAATTTGAATGTGTTTGTTTACAGAAAAAAAAAATTTTCTTTTACGCCTTTTTTCTTCTTGCGGTCTTTTCTCTTTCGCATCTATCGAAAGTAATCATTCATGACCGTCGTAAAACAACGTAATACTGTCTAAAGTTTCATTGTATTTCGTCAAAATACTTCATCTAGTTTTACTGTCTTATCTAGATAGTAGGTATAAGGTGTTCTAGAACACATTTTGCAAATAAAAGTAAATTTAAAAGGTTAGAAGAGAGAAAACTACAAAAAAGAACACATCAAAGTAAGTCAGAATGAACCATAGTGTATTTCAGTCATGTTCATTGATTAAATAGATCTTAATTAGCAAATCATAGTAGTTTATCGAAGAATTTTGATAGATTTAGATCAAACATGTGTTACAGTAATATTTAAATATATGATTTTTCTTTTTGCATGTAATGTTGACCTATTTAATCAATAATATTTTTATTCATTCAATCACAAACTATTAATTCTTTTTTTCTGTAAATTTTAGAAAAAGCAAATAAATGATTGTTGCCATGGTGGATTCCCGTTTCGTCGAAAATGAAAAAAAAACAGCTGTTCCCGTTTCGTCGAAAAATTAAACTGTCATAAAAAATAGTATAATCAGAGTGATAAACTAGATTTCTTTGATTGACTTAAACTATTTCCTTAAAAAGAAACTAATTGATATCTCTATACTAGTAATCTGTATTTTTGAAAAAGTCTAAATATGAGGAGGAAAAGGAAAAATTCAATTTTTTTTTGTATATTCATTCATTATTACACAAAATGATGCTATCTATTGTTGAAAGTAAACGTAATATATCAAATTTAATACTTGATACTTTTTGCTACAAAAAATCACATTTTAAATACAACTGGTTTATTGGAAATGTGAAAATCGTTCATAGGTGTTGTGGGTGAATGTGGATGTTTTCTTCTTACACTCACATTCACTCTCATCATGTCTTTTAGCAACTGGTAATTACCTCTACAAAAAAATTTATTTGTAAATCGAAATGTACGATTACATAAATTAAACGAACGTTTTAAAAAACAAAACATTAACATTGAATAAATTTCTTGAAAAATTTCTGAGACTAATTGGAATAAAAAAGTGTTGGATTTTTTTGTCTTTTCTATATTTATGTATCTAAATCCGCTCTGTAATAAAGTTTTTTTTTTGACAAACTGATTTACAAGTAATTAGGCACTATTCCTGATTAGTATGATGAAAAATCTCATCAAATAATATAATCTATTCTTCGTTGATTAAGCTGAATTTATTTTTTTCGACGAAACGGGACCTAATCTGTTGCCATAGAGTATCGACATGATATCTTGAGTAATTGAAATTGTTATTTATGATAATAATATCCATAGAGAGATATTCAATTTCACATTATTTAAACAAACATCTATATCGCAAAAAAAAAACGAAAAATCGATGAATGACAAGTAATCATCATTCTTAACATGATTATTATTGACGAGTTAATTGCCATATTAAATGTTCAAAAAAAAACCTTCCAGCAATATTATATTTAGAAAAAAAAAATCAACATTTTGCTATTACTTTCTCAATTCATTTCTTGAAAGTATCAGTATGCAATAAAAACCAATGCAAATATGACTTTTAAAAAAGTGAAACGACAATATATGCCTATTCATGTTCTTTGATATGTTTTTGTAAATTGATTTAACAATATGAAACAGTGATTAAAAAATTAGACTGAGTTTAAACCAATTCTTGTTTCTTTTTTTCTTGTTCATTAATCCATGTCAAAGACAATCTATTGGAACAAAAAAGGATATCTTAACTGTGTCTAGATGTTTATAATTATCCATGTTAATGTATATATTCATCTTTTGATCATCATTAAGTAATAGAGTAAAGAGACAAAGACAGCAAAAAAAAAAAGGAGAACGATCTTCTCAGGTGTAATAGAACTCATGCTGTGACCGACCATCAACACATATGTATATGTTGTGTGAAATGTGATTCTTGAAAATAGTTTAAGCAGAATAAAAAAAAAACTAGTGAATAGAAATACGAACAAGAAAAAAAATCACACAATTGTGATTCTTTGAAGAGTTTTTAACGATGATGATTATTATAACTTAAATGGTGACAAAATTGTTTATGATAGTTCGATAAGAAAAGATAATTGATAATTAAAATTGATGTTTCTTACGGATCAAAACATTTTTCATCTTTTTCTATATTAATATAATAGCAAAAAGATAAAACATTTGCTAAACAAATATCACAGTTAGTTTCGAAATCGATCCAAGAGAGACATATTCTTAAATTAACTTGATTATTATAAGATGATCGTCATGATTGTCTGAGAAATATTTATTAGAAAAGTATTTCGGATCTTCGTAGCAAATCTAAAACGTATTCTATTTTTGAAAAATATAATCTAACACTTTGAACTTTTCTACATCTTTATCTCCAAAGACGATATATCAAAGTGCGTGTTGAACAAGTTGTCGACACATATTTCTTTTTCTCGTTCATTATCATCTTGAAACATAATTGTTTATATGCATACGTTAGTTTTTATCTATTTCTTATTTGTTCACTTTTTATTAGCATGTTTATTTATTATACATTTGTTTTTCTCTATGGACCAATAAAAAAGAATGAAAAAAAGAAAATCAATAGCCTATTGGTTGATGATATCAATTGATTTCTTTTCTTTTTTTTTCCTCTTCAATGATTGTATATTATTTTGTGTTGTCATTCTTTCCATCATTAATCGATATAGATTTTTTTTTTAAATTATTTTCTTTTAATAAACCTAAGAAATATTTCATTATTTTGACTTCTTTTATCTTAGTAATCAGACGCGAGTATTGATACTCAGGAGAAAATGTATCAGGATGTTAAATTGCTTGTTGTCTATGACAATGTTCATATGGTAAGTATAATAGAAAAGCCTTGAATAGTTTGGTTTTTTTCGGATCTTCGTTCTATGAGATGGATTTTTTTCTGCATAAAAAGCTTTGCGCATGACTTTCAAGCTATAAATTCAAACTTTGCACGAATACACTTCTCAATAAGATTAGTTTATTAAACAAGTTGTAACTTTTTCTAGTATTTTCTATTTTGAAAAGTTCAATCAAGCAAATTTAGTTCATCTATTGTTAGATCTCCAGAAAGAAAATCTGAGACTTGCACACTCAATTAATCTTGTAAAGAACTTTGTTAGTGCAAAGTTTGAAGCCGAAAACATTCGGCCCAAGTCGAACAAATTTTTTTTTTGTAGAAAAACTCATTTAAATTTCGATATTTCGAGAACGAAAGCTCGAAAAACCAAACTATTCTAGATTTTTCTATTACTTTCTGTTATACATTACATGAACATTGTCAAAATAATATGACACTTCTGGAGAAATTCTCTCATTAGTTATGCATAACTATTGTCCTTCTTATCAATCTTAATTATATTTTAAAAAGGATAAATCTAAATAATAGTAATATATATTTAGATTTATATGCATTCTCATATTTATACTGAAAATAATTCATATTTATTCAATACAACAACTTTTAATAAACAACATGAATTAACAATAAATAATAATTATTCATCATCAGATTGTCAAATATCAATACCATATAATACTAATAATGAATCAATACCTGTATCATATTATACTGATGATATTTATATGAATTCAATGTTATTTACACAAACAACAACAAATAAATTTTATGAACCAATTAATTCATATAATTGTAAAGAATTTTCTATTTTCGTAAAATATTTTAAAAATATTATACGAATCTATCAATTTTATTTTTTAGCTTATTTCAATGAATCATATCAGTGTGTTAAATGTGGTACTGTACAACCGAGTGAAAATATACATTGGAGTAAAGATATTAGTGGATTTAATATATGTCATAAATGTAAAATTCCTTCAATAGCTAATCGAAAAAACGTTCGTATATTCCTTACGTATATATATACTCTTTAATTAAATTTTTTTTGATTAAATATTTTAGATTACTTCAGGTAATCAATGTGCAAATTGTTTTACAAGAGATACAACATTATGGCGAAGAAATATTAGTGGAGAAAGTGTTTGTAATGCTTGTGGTCTTTATTATAAATTACATAGAGTATGTACTATAAAACTTTCATAACACAATATCAGAAAATATTATATTTATGTTTAACTTACAATGTTCAAGATATTAGTACTCGTTGATTCTATATAAGAATTAAATTTAATACACATAACTATAATTATCGTCTGAGCTTTCTATAGATGATGTGTTGATCTATTTTTATTAGTAAAAATTCTTTGTTTACCGTGTGCATTGCAAATCTTGAGGGTGTGGGTGTGGGAAATCAGTTTTAGTGTTGACTATTAGGCCAAAAAAAATAAAAAATATATGGAGGCGAAGATTGTGTTTTATACTTTTTGAATTTAGTACTAATATCTTGTCACGATACTTTTACAAGTGACAAAATCTTCATTCTTCTTAATCAATAGAATATTAGCATAATCATTAAGAAACTATGTGTATATCATTAATGTCAACAACTTTTATATAATATTCTATGAAGATTTTGTACGTTAGCTTGTAAAATTTGACTTGTTGATTTTTTTCATAGCATAAAACAATAGTTAAAATACAAAAATGTTTTTGTTTCTGGAATAAATAAATGAATATGCTATGAATAATGTTTTTGAATAGATTAATCGACCATTAGAATTAAAAAAAGATGGAATTCAAAAACGAAAACGTAAATCAAAAAAAGATAAATTATCAACAATAAACGATGTGCCAATGCTTGATAAGACTAAAAGTAATGTTTAAAATCTTATTTTGTTCTTTTTGTTTTTTTATTTCTCATGTTTTCTTCTAGAGCAATCTGCACCAATTATTTTCGATACATCACTATGTACATTTGAAAATGATCAACAATTGAATAATCTACAATCTTCTTATACAAACTATTCAACTGATCCTGCACCTGATAATGTCTTATTTTCATATAAAACATCTAGTCTTTATCCACATTTTCATCATATTAATAATTCATCATCATCGGTTAAACAGCTTCCGTCACAATATAATTATTAATAACAATCTTCATCCTGTTATTAAGTGCATTAAAACTATTTTTAAAATAAAGTTAAACATAAAATATAAAATTCATGAATTAAATATACGAATTTAGATATATAAAATAATATGTTTGTATTCAAATGTTTCTTATCAGATTGAGTCGTTTTTTTTATTTCTATAAAAAGAAAGGAAATATACACATGAGCATTGAGTATACTACATAAACTCTTCTTCAAACCAATTCATACCGAAACTATATAAACAACTAAATAAAGAAATTATCTTTAATATATGTAGCAGAGAAAATGCTCAATGATAATTAAATGTTAAAATCGCAAGTGTATTTTATTTTATATTACATTGAACTGTTTAGAAAAGGTGTTGTTATTGTTTCTCAGTATATCAATAATCTTCCACATAAGTCCAGGATCTATTAAAATTGTCTTCATCTAACTATTCCTTTACAACTATGAACAATCTTTAGTTCAATGTTTCGTATAGTATCTTTGAACGAAAGGGATAAAAATTGTTAACAGATGTAAAGGAAGACTTAAATCAGAATGAATTTTATTTTATTTTTTTGATCGTCTGGGACAAATCCTAATGGGTACTCGTAAATTTCAAAGCAGTCACTATATACCACTTAGATTGGCATTTTTGCAATGAGTGGTAACTTTTGATAGAATAAGATGCAAGAATAAAATTAGAATATGTTGCAAATCTAGATCGATATTTTATCATAAATACCCCTGATGAAGGTACTCATCAAGCGAGTACTCGCCAATACTAATCAATGTGTCTTGGGTACTCCTATATAGTTTTTATATACTCCAGTAGTTTATGTAAAATACTTATAAGACTATATTGTGTTCAGTATTATTGTATTACGTTTATTCAATATGTATATAAAATTAAATAACAAAAAATGCAGGCGCACATAATGAAAGTTTAAAAAAAAAACAATTATTATGAGAAGTATAGCTATCATATGATGTTTACATTTTTTTTAATAGAGTTAGAAAAATCTTCTACGTTAGACAAGAGTGTGAAAGATTTCTTCATTTTTATATAATATAAAATTAAAATTTTATTTATTCATTTAAAAGATCAAAGAAAAGAATATAATTTAAATAAAAAAATTATTTTTCAAAACAGAATTTTCTACAGTCGCCTGAAACCTGGCGACAGAAAAGAAATTTCAGCTGTTTTAGCTCTGCTTCTGACAGAAACTCATACGAAGACACCTTCTCTCAGTCAAAATATCATAGAATGTCGATGATTTTAGCATGTCTTGTTTGATCTTTATCAAAAAGACGAGTGAAAACTTTCTTCGGAAGTTTGAATCCTTCCCATTCTCGAAAACACTTGTGAGTTTTGCAATCAACAATTTTTTCAGTAATTAAATTTTCATGTTTTTTATAATTTTATTTTATTTTTGAATATTCTAAAAATAAATAAAACATCATTTTCATGGTACCATAATAAACAAATATCTAACTTTCTCTACTAGAGCCGTTCGGAATCAGATCTAACGTCAATCCGATGGGCTTTTCTCTCCATTGATAATAAGAATTTCTTAAAGTAAGTGTACACTGATGCATAGATTGAAAACAAAAAGATATAGGAAAAGAAAAACGCAAAGTAAATGATTTTGCGAAACAAAAATGTCGGATTAGAAATTGTTGGTTATACACAAACGAAAATCAAATAGACATTTTTTTTTATCCATAACTATTTATAATCTTTTAGTAATTTATATAGAAACACCAAAAAATAAAATTCTTTCTCTATAGTATTATTTAAATATCTTCATGATTTCAAGTTCTTTTGTTTGATTGTATTTTATAGTTCAACTAAAAACTTGCATTTTAGTACAGAATTTTTATATCTAAATTTAGAAAATTAAATTATCACGAATTTCTGTTAATACATATAAAAACAATATTTAATCTCGTTTCACAAGTAAACAGTGGAAAATGAAAACGTGTCTTTGGGTTTTTTTCTCAAAGTCACCATTTAACAAAATCAAATAAATGATTCATCAACAAAGAATAGAGAATACAACTAGACAAATTGTTAAATAAAATAGTTTCTTTCTATTATCAGTAAATATATGATGTCATTCAAGTTTATATGTGTATTTTCAATTGTTTGGAAGAATTTTTAAGAAGAAAAATTCTCAGTTTTTCCTGATGATCTGCTTTTTTTTCTGAAAAATAAGACAATTTTCAATAATTGATTGTTAAAGATAAATCTAACTTTCTTTATTATTTTACAATTCAGAGTACACACTCATGTATGAGAATGAAAAACACATATTTATATAGGTAAAGACGATGAGCAAAAACAAAAGAGATTGAGAAAAGTAGATGATAGAAACAATGTATAACTTATATATTAACACGGGTTACATCACCACATAATTTTCAATGTTTGCATTTTCTTGTAATTTTTAAATTATTTATTTCAAATTTACCGTAAAAAACTCAATCTAGAAATCTCATTTATAAATGAGTTTGCTAGAGTGAGTATTTTACGGTAAATTTGAAACAATTAATGTAAAAATTCAAAGGAAATGAAAACGTTGAAAATATGTTGGTTATCAAAAACTGAGAATTTTCCTATAAAACGTCATACTAAATACTTGAAAGTACACATCTACTTGAGCAGTTCATTACAATCTATCTAACCATATATTAAAATAATTAAAAAAATTCAGCTTTTATTTTAAATTTCTAGTACCTTATATACAAGTGTATAAATATTTTGCTAAATATTCTACGAAAAAAAAAACCAACATGAGTACTACTACATTCAGTATTCACGTCGTTGCTTATGAATAAACCTATAGAGAGAAAATCTTATGAGTATTTATTGGAGTACACGAGCAATATTCATACATATAAAATTACTTGTGTATTCGCACGAGTAATTTGAGTACTCTAGTTGACAAGTATTGTTCACTTGATTGATGCTTTCACTAGGAATGATTCATTTAAAACTCAATGTATATATGAATTATTTTTATGTTTTTAATGATGCTTTCTATGTATCAAATATTCTCCTTTTCGAAATCATTCTCTTATTCAATTGTTAGAAATTGAACAAATTTCATGCCGTATATGTAATAAAATCTTTCTCGGAAATCAGAAAGTAAACTCCATTAGAGAAGTATTTTAATAACATACAATGATTATGACTCTTAATTATCGGAAGCAAATCTATATATTTTTGCGTATGGAAAACTAAAATAAATTCCGTTGTCGTGTGATGTTCTTACAAAAAAAAAACAATAACACTCCAATGTCATTGTTGTATGAAAAATATTTGTCTAATTAATATTCGCAAGTATGAGTGGCATAAATAAGAGTTTAACACTACAAATCACTAGTGTATTGATTGTTTTGATCGACTTTCTTTTTTTTTTTCTCTTGGAAAAAAACAAATTCATAGAGATACAACGATTATACAAATACATGAAAGAAATGTTTCTTTTTAACATATTTAGTTTTCTTCTTTTTTTTAAATAATCAAAAAAAAAAAATACAAGAAAGTTATTTTAACCAAATTTTGGAATACCAGAAAATGCTGATGCAAATGCACGTTTGCCAAATTTCGGAATACCATGAAATAAATTCGACATAAGACGTTTAGGTTTTATATTTGTATGACTAAAATGTTGTTGATCTTTATCATAACAATCATCATAAAGTACACATAATATATTCAAATAATCGAGTCGATCATTTTTATTAATAGCCAATGGTTTTAATAGATCTTGTCCGTTCAAATTCAATGATGATAATATTTGTTCTATTTTATTTTGATCAATATGTGGTATAGGTAATGAATAACAGTAAAAATTGAAAAGAGCAAGAATAATAATTAGATGAAAACATGAATAATGATACATCATAAATTTTGTAGAAAAAAAGTTTGCTTACGAATATTCTAATCTCTTGTGATGTGTTCTTGCTATACTAATAATCGAAAAACATATATGATTCTCTATTAGAATTTTTTTCCTGTTTCTCATTTTCTCTCGCTCTTTCTCTCTCTCTCTCGCTTCCTGCATCTTGTTTTTTTTTTTCATCAACTCGTTATTAAATTAGCTCGATAGAGACATTTATTGCATACAAACGAATATTTGTATTTAAGAAATTGTGAATTATAATAAAGAATATTTTCAATAGTTAATATAGAATGATAAGTGCGACTGACATACGCTTTATATAACTTATTAAATTACTATAAGAAAAGAGAGTTGTCAATAATATTATTATTTTATTTTATTATTGTGTCTTTTTGTGTATTAGAACTGTCATTATTATTGTTATTCAATAAATATTTGAAAATAATAATTGAATAACAAACGCCTTCTGATGATTCCGATATATATATATATATAAAAGACATCTATATAATAAATCAATTGTATTCGCTTGATTAAATATTCTAAAAGATATGTAAGAATACTGAAGTAGACATGATATTAAAAATAAACATTGCCGTCTTGTGTATTATTTGATCTTAGTATTCTCAAAAGAGTATTAAAATTTTGAAGTGCTAAAAGTATTCTATTTTCGTTTTTGATAAAATACTTATTCAATATTCTGTTACATCTTTAATGAATCGTATTCTAATTTGTTACTTTATATTCAGATAACCGTTAGACGAAATAAGAAACAGAAAATAAGAAAGTCTATTCAAATTACATGAAGAAGATTATCACATCTATTATTGTAAAAAAAACATCCTATCAAAAAGCATCATAAAGATAAAATTGGTGATAATTATACGGAAACATGAGAGGTATGCAGAATCATGTACGAGCACTGGTAGAACTGCAGGATGTCGATCTAATTGGAATTCATTTTCATAAAAATTATATTTGTTGTCACTTTTTTAGGTCATCATGTTAAAGCACTAGTCAAGTGAAATAGCTGTTTTTCATGATCAAAATCACGTTCCACATCTAATTCTTTTCTAATTTATTCTGTTAATACATTCATATTTTTATATATTTATTCTATGCAATGTATCTTGATAAATTGGATTGTTTTGTTGGCATGAAGCAGTTTTCACTTTAGACAAAAAAAACAAAAAGATAACATAAAAAATCGTTTATGATAATCAACAAAACATCCAGGGACCTCAAAAATAAAATAAAAAAAATATCATTTAAATGGTTTCTTTTTTATCGAAATAATAAAATAAAACGTTTCATAGTTTTAATTATCTCACAGATATTTAAATCATTTCATTAGTTCCATTATTAGTGCATTTTTTTCATGGCAAAATTTTCATATTTCTTTGATTATTTTAACATCATTCTCATTATATGATTTTGATTATTTTACAAAACGAAAGTCATTGTATTAGTTTCATTACTTTTACATTCTATTTATAATTTTAAAAGTACTAGAATCATCACAATACTTTGATTATTTCCACATCATTTTCATAATATGATTTTGATTATTATGCAAAAAATGAAACTTATTACATTACTTTTGCATCATTTTCATTCTATGATTTCGATTGTTTTGTAAGAGATTAATCGAAAGATTAATTTCATTACATTTGCATTTGAAACACTCAACTTCAATCGTTTTTTAAAGAAACAAACAAGTTTTAATCAATAACTTTGGTGTGAAAAACATCATGTATCATGACTTTTTTTTCTCCTTGATAATAAATGATGAAAATGATTAATTTAAATCTTATCTACTAATTTGTCCTTATATATGAGACGTCCTTGACAAATGGAATATATTAGGATAGAGATCCTGCTGTGTTCTGCTTTTTTTTCTAAAGATTGTAGTATTTTTAATAATATATGTGCTTTGCCAGTTTACGTGATAATAGAGTAAAATGAACTTTTGAAAAGTTTACTGCAGAGACTCTTCAAGGACAACCAATTCAGACTTGTATAAAAGCTGGGCTGCAATTACACAGTCAGGTAGTTAATTAAATCGGATGAAATCAAAGTGAATTCTTTGTGTATCCTTTTCATGACGAGATTTTTGTACACTTTAAATAATTTTCACCCATAAATTTAAAATATATTAACAGTAATGATTGTTTCATCATTGAAAATATGTGGTTGTTTGTTTTTTTTTGACTGAAGTTAACAATTTCTTTTTGAAATTGAACTCATTTAATATCGATTTAGTCTTATATTGCCGTGAAAATACTTCGAGAAGAGTAATATGTAAAGATGATATTGTATTGAAGCTGATCGTTTGTTTTTATTGTACATGTTCGTATCATTTTTATTACAATTGGAACCTTTGTAATTTTCGATAATTTTTGAAGACAAATACACATGTTTGTGTGCACGAAGTATTTTTCTCAGTCAAGAATTGTTATGTCATGAAATAAATTCTTATTGATTTTTCTTTGCATATTATAACTAATTCTAAGTATTAATCTTGTTACTAAATCTAACATCTGACCTAGAATGCATGATTGTATAGAAGTACTTTTGATGGCATAACCGACTTTTTATAATCAGTATCGCAATCTATGATTAACTCTATGCTTATAATTTATAAAATCAATTTATCGCAAACGTATTTATAACACTGAAAGTGTATTAATTATCATAAAAAAAGATTTATTAGATATTCTCTTTATTTTTGTAGTTAACAGATACTATATTAAGTCTATGAAATAGAGATTCATGCTATTATTTCATTGTTTGACTAGATTATTGATGTGTCTATTCAGTCCAGTCAAGATCTTAAAAGTATTCGTCTAACTTTTAAGAAAATTATACATCGATTTAACTATTTTCGATTTGGTATAACCCATTAATATACAGTTGTAGCTTGATTTTTTTATGTGTCTTTTTCCGATATGCATAAAAAAATATTAATTCAAATTCCTTGATTAAGCGTCATAACTGACACCCAAGATTTAAATTGCATTAATTTTCTTTTTATTTAGCTTCGGTCCAACAGTTTATGCAAATGTTAATATCAATATACAGAAAATAAAATTATTATGATTTTTTATTTAGATTTGATCCAACAGCTTATCCAAATGTAAATATCAATTTCTAAATAATAAAATTATGTATATGTAAATAAAATAAATAAAATATATTAGTACTTAAGAAGTGGGTGAGGATGTTAGTGATAAAGAATCATCAGTTGACTATGGTTAACCCGTCGACTGACCATATTTACTGTCTGTTAACCTACGTTCTTTCCAAAAGTTCATCTTTAGCTATATGATTGTCAATGAAGTTTCGATTCATTTTCAAAATATACAAGTCGTATGTTTTCGTTTACGATATAATTCTGTCAGCAATAGATGAAACGTGACAGATTAAAATAGGACTAGCTACTATCAATTAATTAATTGATATCTTAAATGCAGTAGTTTTTTTTTGTTGGTAAAGTCAAGAGATTCGAGTGACCGATTCCAACTATGCCACTCATATAAACAGGCAGAGTTGATGTTCTTATTTGAAGATAGAAGCAAAGCAAAAGATCTGAAACATTTACAAAAAACTATTGTTGCTAAGATCTGTCTGAATACAAAATTTATCGTCGAAATTCGAAAATCAGTTTTTCTGGATCACGACATTCATTTAAAAAATAACCTGTAAAAATTTCCTATTTTCATAGCAATAAATTAAGCGTATGGACTCTTCTCAGAATATTTATCTTTCATTTGGCTTTGGATAATGTGCATAGTTTCGAGTCAAAAGAAGTTTATCAGTTGAAGAACTTCCTTCGGAAATACGATTATTGACCTGTTTGAAGAGATTCGACCTTTTCTCAAGTAAGAAAAAAAAAGTACATGTGTAGTGTGCCAAGGTAATCTTCAGTTGCCCCCTAAGAGAACAAGAAGAAGACATCTAAACAAACTTCATGAATACTATGACGTCAATTCACATTGTGTAAATTTTCAAGAGCAGTTCGTTGAAATTCGTATCGGATAATTGAAGTCCTCTTTAGAAATATAATGAAAAAAGAATTAGTAGTGAAAAATTATTAGAATAGATTAGTTGAAAGATTCATATTTTTGGATGTCATATGTGTGTGACTAGAAAGTCATCAGCATCTCTCTCAAACTCATACCATTCGAGAGTACATCAATCAAACTTTGATGGAATTTAATTTCCTCTTTTGATATTTTTGTTTGTAAGATTTTTTCTTTGACATGTTTTCCTTCTACATGTTTCCATTGAGTCTCTTTACGCACTAAAATACTAATGTTCTTGCAAAAATCAATTGTCCATGCTTACAAATTCGAAATATTACAATGATTAACTTTTAGATTAGTTAAACCCGAAAATTTTCTCTATACACATCGATGTCATATCATTCATAGACTTTGCCATGTTTCTTATTTTTTATTGTTTCAAGTGAAAATTGTCCCTGTCGTATTTTTTTATGTTATTCTTATTAAAAAAAAAGTCCTTGAATAAACTTTTAAGATTTAAAAAGAAAACTAGACCATATGAATCAATCGAAGCAGAAATACGTATGTCGTTGTTTGTCAAGATCGTAATTATAGTTCGTTCTGGAAAACGTTGTTTAGAATCTGTTTCATTAAAATTTTTAACAATAGGAAACATATGAAAGAAGCATATGTATCATGATGAATCTTGATAAGATTGAAATTTAATTATTAAGATTTAACTTGAATTCATCTCAGATTCATAGATTGAGATACTATCAACAGTCTTTTACGAGTCTTGGAATATTCACTGAATAATAATGTAACAAAAATGAAAAGCCAACTTGTATTTCATGGTATACAGGCAAATCTATGTTGATAGATTTTTAAAAAAGACTTTAAATGCTTGTCTCTTTTTTTCTGAAGAACTTTGCTGAAAATTAGAGCATAGTAAACAAGTCAAAATACTCTCCTCATTTTACGATATTTTCTGACACACTGAAAATTTCGTTCTAGACTCATTTGATAGAAAATTTTCTGCGTTTCAAAGTTATATATGTTTCAGAGTGATCTTTTTTTAATTTACTTTCAAAAACTAAGAAAAGTGAAGATGTTCAAAAACTTCTCTTGTGATCGTATGATCAAGATTAAATTTGTCGAATAATAATGAAACATCTTGGAAATGCAGTCAGAAAAACAACAGTGATTAGACATGTTAAAATGTTCAAGGAAAATAAACCATCAAACAGAGCTTTTAATAAAGAGAATCATGCAGGTGTCATTTGAGATGAGAAAAAACATTCAAGTTTGTTTTTATCATTTGTAATACACACATATACTCTTTCAAATGATTCATACCATTGAAAGAACTATAATTAAATGTTTTTTGACAAATATTGTAACTCATATAATCAGGAATTCGTTGTCATTTACTATTTTTATTTTTCTATTACTAGTAAACCAAATACTTTTGATAATATAACGTTTAAAGTCATCGTCTTGTTGTTGATTATTTAATAAATACTTGTTCCATTGTTTACTAAACGTCTAACTTTCTTTAAAGAATACATTACATTTATGGGTAATGATGCACAAACAGATGAAGTAGTTTCACTTGAACATAAAGCAATTTCCCTAGAATAAGATATGTTAAAAAAAAACGATGAAAAAAGTAAATATAACAGCCTAACCTACACTTAGAATAGTATTGTGTTTTCATGAGGAAAACTTCAGTTATTTAAGTAAGTCCCGTGAAAATAATCAAAATGCTGAATGTATAATCTCGTGAAAATTTTCTATAAGGATTTTTTTTTACAAAAAAAAAAATCACTAGTAATATTTTTCGGGTTTGTTATGTCGAGTGAAAGTCAACAACCTTCAACACAATTCCTATAGGATACATAACTGAACTATCTGTCTTTTTATGTTCTATTACAAATGTTATCAACGATACATTCATGAAATATTGTTATTAACATAACAGATAGTTGAAAATTATTAGATAGTTAATTTATATTTCAACAAGATGAAGTTCTCGTCAACCGTCAGTCTGCTTTATGAAACACGATCTAAAAGGATTGATAAAGTCTAAAGATTGAAATTTCAATTTCACTCCTCCATCCCTCCCCCACCCCCCTCTACACACACGTGTGATAGACATAAGCATCTAATCAAACCCATTGCGGAACTAGCATAATAGTTGTTCTTTCCTTTTTTTCATGATCACTCTAATATATTATAAATTCAATATCAATTAGTTAATAGCCTCTTTGACAATACCAGCAGCTCCATTATGTTTCACTGTCTGATTCTGCAGAGATTATACTGACAGCTTTTTCTACTAGCCAACGGCTATCGTTTTCTCCTATGATGTTCATCATTGTACGAGCTTAATAAAAAATGGCAAAGTAAAGATGCTGATTTTTGTTCTCCTGTATTTGATGACTACTAAATAAACCTGATCTTAATCTTATAGATTACTTGATTTTGTATAAATTATCTCATGAGATAAAATGGAACAATATAAAAAGCAAAAAAATTAGGGCAGAAATTGGTCGTCACAATATCGACTGTAGAACGAATTGAATTTATCGAATATTACAAAAAATATGCATGTATATTTTTTTTTAATATAAAATACATAATTTGAAAACATATTTCATCCATTTATGGTGCATCACTCCTCATGCATGTTTTTTTGAGGACAAATTATATGTTCAGTATTTTTTTTGTAAATGTTCAGTAAAATTTATTCAGTTTTATATGCAAATTTTCAATAAAGAAATCAAACTATCAGTATAAAATCCAATGTTCGATAACTATTATATTTGTTCAACTAATTAATTGTTTGCTCAGGAAATTAATAAACTGCTCAGTATTAAAATAACAGTTTCAGTAATTAATTCAGTTTGCTGAGTCAAAAATTCATTTACTTAGTAACAAGTAGCATTTTCACCAGTAATCACTTTTATTTTATCGATGAAAATATTTTGATGTAAATAGAAGAACAGTTGATCACATTGACTGGTGATGACATCATCAGTCAACAGATACTATGTTACCAATGTAACAAAATTTGGCAAAAAATCGGATTAAAATCGATTATTGTAGTTGCTCGATATTTTAGTTACATATGAAGATGAATATATTGCATTCTCTCCTTGTTCTCAATTTAACAAAGGAGAAGAAGATTCTTAATATCATCTCCTTGTTTGCCTCTCTGCATATCCTTATATAAATATAGCGTGTTTTTTTCTAAATAAGTTGAATTTTGATTTACCAAAACTTTTATTACTAATTTGATTTAAAAAGGTTACTATTTAAAAGCTAAGTAAAAAATGTCACTTTTGCTAAGTAGGATGTGGGTGTGAGATTTTGATACCTTCATCCACACGCACACCCTTCTGTTAATTATAATTACACTTTTTTTTTTTACTGAAATTAATTAATGAAAAAACTGAACAAAAATAATTTAAATATTGAATATTTTTAAATTCATCACTGAACTTCTTGAATTATTTACTGAGTAAAATATTAATTTTTACTGAACAAGAACTACTGAACATGTGAAAAAAAAAATTTACTGAGTATTCATAATAAAATACTGAACAATTAAATACAAGCCTTTTTTTTCACTTCTCAATGCAGTTCATATAGCATTTGTAATCTACTGGTTAAAGTATATTCTGGCATTGATAATGCCCTACAACGAAAGAATTTATTTTACATTTATTATAAAGAAAGTTTTTGTTATGAAATAATTATAATAGAAAATTCTTCATCTATATAAAACAAATTATTGATTTAAAATCATCTGAGCGTAATAAGAGAACCTATTTCCATTTAAATAAAATAACTAGAAATACTTTTATATAATTATATTCTGTTTAGTCAAGTTTCTGTTTTGACAGAATATATGAAATACTATTCATAGAATTATTTTTTCTAATCCTACGCACTACTTCATCTCAATTCATGTGATGTTTAATACCCTATAAGAATACAAGAAAAAGAACATATCAAGTCATATTTTCTTAAGACAAGTTAAAGATTAAGAAAACAATATTTTACCAATGTACTTAAGTAAAATTTCTTTTGATAATTATTTATTTTGTTATTAATATATTTTTTTTGAAATATTTAGTATATATATGTATTATCATTGTTCTTATACCAATCTCAACAAATCATGCTTTGCCAAATCCATCTTCATTTTATTTTGATGATGATCAATTATTACCTATTACTTATTTGCATATGAAACGACAAGAAGTATTTGATCCATATGGTTTCAATACAATACTGACTCGATTCAGTAAACGTAATAAACTTGATGATACTTATACAAAAGAAACAAATGGTTCATTTGATTAAAATAAATCAATATGACTCTATTTAATATCGAATTTCTTTATTGAAAATGAATATTAATAATTAAAAAAGTAAAAATTTGTATTTGCATATTATCCTTGTGAACAAAAACAAACTGAAAGGAAGCTTTTTTCTTTTTGTTTCAATCTTTTTGATTGATTGTAATTGAATGAATTCATTTATTCTTTATTGAAAATAATATGTATTCACATGCATAACTATTTTGTTTTATTATTCTAATATTAGAATGATGGGTCAATTGCTTTTGAATGATCACATGATGTTTTACTATAAATGTACAAAGAAGATTATAGAGGGTTTGTCATACAAGCAGTGTATGTCATAGTTGACATGAGAATTTCATTGATTTGGAAATGTGTAAATTAACTTTTTTAAAGGAATTTTCCTAAGAGAATATTTTATAAATAAGATTAACTAATTGATATAGACAAAGGTTCACAAAATAAAGTCATGTTAAACTCAATAAGTAAAAAGTTGAAATATTTTTCTGAATTTTCTTCTTTTATTGATAAAAAAAGAAGACAAATGATTGTTATAGTGTATGCATTTCAGTTTTTCTGACTGCTCTATTTCATATGCTGTTAATTATAAATAGAGATCAAATGAATTTCTTTTTGTTTTTTTTGGCAAGAACCATCATGCTTCATATACTGTCGATTATACTGTTTCGACCAGTAGGATTCAAATATGAAGCGTAACGCATTTATCTTTATTTTAATTGATAAGTTTTTAGACAAGTCTAGAAAATTTATCTATTCTTCATTTATTTGACCAAAAGTTATGAGATGAATAGCATAAATCAGAAACACACTCAAAGGGAGAAAAGGTGAGTTTCGGATACCTTTGCGACTTTGAATAATTTCCAAAGATTTCAAGGCCGAAGCATCTCCTGTTTATTGTTATAACAAACTATCCTCTCGCTTTCTATAGGCATAAATGTCTATCATAAGTATGTACGACACTCCATTTGATTAGGTTGGATTGCAATATTTTTAAGTAAACCTCAAGGATAAAATTTAGACTAGAAAGTTGTCAAAGTGTCCCTTACAAATAGTACATTTTTTTAATTACATGCTATCTTTACTAATCACAACGATGAAAGGCTAAGAAGTATAAATGAATGTCAATACTGAACATAATTTCATAAAAGAAAAAGCTAGATGTTTTTTTTTGTTTCTTGCTGAGTTCTATTTAGAAAAAAAATTTATTAATTTGTAACGAATCATAATACAAATTTATTTAATCTTGTCTACAAAAAAGTGTTAATCATTCATAATGTGTTAGAATATTTTCACAGAAGATAATTACTTTTTAAACATCGAAACTCATAATTCTTTCAGGACAAATCTTTTGTTTCAATCGAAATATAATTTTTTAATCAATTGATCGTATTTGACGCAAAATAATTATATAAAAACTTCATGAAATTCAGGAAAAAAAAGAAATGTAATCCGATTGATTGCCGAGGAAAAATCTCATCAGATGTCTCCTTCCGATTTCAATGTATCTACTACATACTTAACTAAATTATCAAGTTTTTTTAAGAGATACTCTAGGTTTTTGGAAAACTTATATTTTTCAAATTTTAATCAGAAATTTTGTGCACATAGAAAACTCAATTAGAATAGTCTCCATTGAAAAAAAAAATTAGAAGTTTTCAAAAAAAATGAAAGTTTCATATTTTCAAGAGACTTCATTTTAAACTTCTGAATTGTGTTTTGTGAAAGCTATTCTAGTTGAGCTCTCTGCATGTCGCCAAATTTCAATAAGAATACAAATCCTTTGGAAATTTTATTAGAACACTGTAGTATCTACATTGTATTCGAAATAAGACATCTGAGGAAGTTCTCTCGTCATCAATCGCTAATGAACCCATCGACCTACTTATCTACCTCTAATCACACAGATTATGTTGCAAAATCCTGAAGAACTTTATCAATGAGAATAGGAGTAGATACGTGTATCAGAGCTGTCGATGCAACACAATACAGTGATGATCGAGTTTTTGAGAAACTTCTTATCTGGATTCGGACACATTTCAATACGGTACTAGGTAGACTTCTTTCACGCCATTTACAAATTTGATATTTATTCTTAAAAAAAGACTGGATTTTTGCATTGAAAATATTATTTTGAAATTTTCAGTCAAGAAAATTTTTCGAAAATGGCGGGTGACATGACATTCGATACAGTGTTCAATTCTATACAAAAAAAGAAAACTAATATTTATGAAAATCAAATATTTCTGAGCACGTTAACTTCTCTTAGAATAATACATCCACCATCTGAACAACATAACATTGAAAAAGGCGTGGATCAGTTGTAGATATTCGTCTCGTAAGTATAAAGTGACTTTTGAGTAGAGCACTGCGGGACAGTCCCGAATCCCGAAAAATCCCGTTTGTCCTGTCCCGCGGGACAAACGGGATTGTCCCGAAAATTTTTCGGGACGGGACAATATAGAAAAAACTTGTGTCCGGGGAGAAACAGAAAAAGAACAGCTAAAGTAGATGCACTTGAAATGAAATCATAACGTAGTTGTTTATTTCCTAGTTTTTTTTTAATAGTTGATAAATAATCTATTTAAAAAAAAAATTCCTTACGTTTCTCAAAAGTATTATTCATATATGTAATAATAAATAACTAGATTCAGTAAAAGTTCGAAATATGTTTTCTATCAGGAGCTCTTATTACCTATATAAAGGAGAAATGGTGGGAAGAAGCTTCATGCGATCATACGTATGCAAACACAATACAGACATTGTTGACACAAAGGATTTCGATCTATTGAAATGTCTTTCATATGCACAGCTTACTTTGACAAAGGAATAAGGCGTGTTGTTTATTGCTATAACAAATATTCATTAGTTAATTGTATTTCAAAAGTTTAATGTCATTGCGTGCTTTTATGATGTTCTCTTGTTTGTTTTCTATTCTCCACTAAAAAAAAGCATCAAACCAAGAATTCCAGAGAAGTCTAAATCGAATTACAACTCCTCGAGCAGAAGAGTTTCTTATTCCAATATATTTTATTCATGTATCAAAACAGAGGAAAAGAGATCTGATTTATAATTCTGCTCCTTGCTCTAATTCTTTTGTATAAAAACAATTTACTTCAGTTGTATTTTCTTTCACTGAATGTGTGTTCATATTATACCGTTTATTCATCTATGAAATGTCATCCAGATAGCTTCGTCTCAATTCATCGAGGCGCATTTAACATTTGTTCAATGGGAAATAAATAAAGTTCATTCATAAATGAGTACGTGATCGAATAAGCCACTCTTCATGATTAGCATTGGGATTTGGACGTGAATTATGTTTTCCTTATTTTGACCCAAAGCCGTACCAGCATCCTGTTCGATGCTACAGATTTTCTTCAGATAAAAAATTCTTACCAATAAAAAAAATGAAAAGCCTAATCAGTGATCAATTTTCCAACAGTAATAACTAAAAACAAAATTGATAGAAAAACATTTTTGAAATTAGAAATCGATCGATATCTCAGCAGTGGGCAACAAATCGATCGGTGAGACAAATGCTCATTTCCAGCGGAAAAATGCCCTCCACGTCAAAAATGAATTTTTTTCCATTCTGTTCATATAGGACGACCGTCATATACATATATGCGTATGCGTCCATATTTCATTCCTATCTCATTCTTCCATGAATACCATTCAGAAAAGGAATACGTGCCAACACACACCCCCCCCCCCCCCCCCCCCCCCCCATAGACTCTAAAATTTACGTCATATCATATATACCTATTCACATATCTAACACTTTTCTTATAGAAGAAATCATTTTTTCATTTTTCCATTTCACTTTTACTATAGATATCATCATTATTCCTATGCATTTTCATTTTTCCGCTGCACTAGAATATATATACCTATTCACATATCTAACACTTTTCTTATAGAAAGACGCTCAAGTCAAAAATGTTATTTTATGCATGATGATATACATCAAGTTGTTACACGATAAAGAGAGCTATCTGTACTATACATACATAGTGAATGCAAAAATGAAAAGGCAGCAGAAAAATGACTTCAACTTATAGGAATAATGCTCGAACAGGAACGAAAAATGTCTGTCATCTATAAATCTATATACATATATTCTTAGTAGCAAGGAAATATGAAAAGACAGCGGAAAAGTGCTTTACTATAGAGGAAAAATGATTTTGTATATATGAGAAGAACGTCAAAGACAAAACGAATATGCCTCATCGAAAGATATGTTCAAACTTCATTATAAAGTCCACTGTTTCAATAATCGGGGAGAGGAGGAAGTTGAACTTTTGGTTATACAGAATAATTTGATTTTGTTGTTTTTCTTATTCTTGTTATTCTATTGTATAGTGAACAGCGATGAATGAACTTAAATTTGATTGGTGATTAAAAATTGTTTTTCTTTTTGATTGGTCGGTATTTGGAGCTTTTTGAATATTTTTCACATTAAAGAAACACGAGAGAGAAGACAGAGAATATTTGTCTTTCACGTTCGAATTGACTTCTTATCTATTAAAAATCTTTGGTAGATTTCAATCGAATTTTTCTCTAGCTTGTCGGTCGAAAACTACTTCAATCGAATAATCTTCCTTCGTATATTCACATTATCCTCATCGATTTTCATATTACCAGTAGCAGAAAAAAACAACTCTAAGATGAAATCAATTTTCCTCTTCTCGTGGTCATTATTCCATCATTCCTAACCATTTTTCCTATGCAGAATAGCATTATTCTGATCGATGTTCATTTTTCTGCTGAGGACAAAATACATATAACAACATGATGAAGTCATTTTTTCTCTTGTTATAGCCATTATTCCATTAATCTCAATCATTTTTCCTACGGAGAATAGCATTATTCTCGTGGATTTTCATTGTTCCGCTGATGAAAAAATATATGTAACTATAACATAAAATCATTTTCCCTCTTGTTATAGTCATTTTTTCGTTAGTCTCAACGATTTTTCCT